GACTTTTAATGAGAAAAATAAGTAAAGGGTCACAAACCGAAACAAGGGCATCTTCTTTATACAGTGACTTATTCAAACTACAAAAGCGACAACAACAAAAGAAAACCAAAGCACAAGAGACAAACAAAGGAAAGAATTCTGCTTGATATTTCTTTGGACAAGATTTGAATGGTATGGACTTTACCGCTAGGAAACAAGTGTCCGAAAAAGAAGTGGAGATAAAAGTTCTGTTTGTTATTGTATTTGGACTTGTGTGGATATGTATCATTTGAGTGGACAGACACATGGGGTGGAATGCCTTCTAATGGCCATAAAAGGAGAGTGCATAACCTCTGGGATTATAAAGAGCAGCCAAAACATTTGAATCTCAACTTAATGCTAAAAAAATAATTCTAAAGTAAGGTTTCATACCAGCACCACAGGGCAACCCAGGATATCATCTTGCCTGAAGTGTGGCAATCCCCTTTTCTGAAGACTTATTCTAGGATGCTATATATAATCTGGACTTGTGTGCTGCACTCACTGCCTCTGTAGGAGCTGAGTTATAAGTGTCCCACTGCTATGGTTCCTTAATGTCTTGCTAACAAACAGTTGGCTGTCCTAAGCCAACTATTCTTTGCCTGGCCTTATGTAGCAGCTTATTCAACACACTCTGTCTGCACCAAAGTGTGCAATTTTATTTGATTTACCCTAAACCTATATCTGCTGCCTCTGTCTATACATTTTTGCCATAAATAGAGATTAGGGCAAAATGGGAGAAGTCCAATGGAAGTTCAGCTGCCTAGTAATAAGTAGACAAGAACATTTCTACTGCACCACTGAGACCTTGACGGAGGATGAGTTGCAATTGTCCTCTGATTGGAACTTAAATGAGCCTTCTACACAGTGAGACATGGAAGTTGGGCAGCCAAATTTTGCTTGCAGGGTCTACTGAACTGTTCCTGCTGCCTCTGCTACCTTCTGTGCTGACCCCCTGTGCACAGGTAAAAATGAAGACATGGCTTTGGTTTTCAAGAAACTGATCATAAATCTCCCTTGAACCAGTCTCCCTCTGGGGAGAAGCAGCAACCACTTTAAATATTTTCCAGCGTGAGGCCAGTAAGGGAGAACTCTTGCAAAACCAAGATATTTGAGGTATACAATCCTGCACTTGAGCACTACTCAGAGCAGGGGTGGAGGGACATGAAGGACCTAGAACACTGAACGAAACACATAACTATCCTACAGATTGCTCATTTATTGACCAAGAAAATTGGAAGGGGACATTTAAGTACTCAGGAAGAAACCCATGTCTGTGTCTAATCCATCAAACAAATCGTTCTCGACCAGCTGATCGGTTAACATGTGACAGCAATTCCACAATATGAAAAAACAGTGCTGTCTCTGTGTGGGCCCCTGTTGAAGAGACTGAAGTTGCACATGAGACTATACATGCTAGAAAGAACAGTAATGTACTGCCTAGGGATATTTTAAAAAGAGGGTAGACTGACACGGTTTCTTCCAAATTACAGAAATCCATTTTATACAGGAGGCCATTGTATAAAAAAGATAAGGGTCAGGAAAATCCTAACAGGGATTGTGATTTCTGGACTTTCATTATCAAACAGAAAGCAGCATTCACATGTTGCTACCATTTGCAGTGTGTGAAAATCCTAGAAAACACACTGGCATTTTACACTGTGACATCCCCAAGTGATTTTAGATTTGCTCCAAGTGAAGCATAAGCACTTGTGGTCATCTTTGGAACCTTAAAAGGCTGCAAATTCAATGTTAGTACCCCATTTAAATAATAATTATTAGAGGTATGGGCTTCATACGTTAAAACTAAATCAAAATTTTAAAGGAGCAAAGCCTGAAGGAACAAATCCAGTATGGTGTTCTCAAAGATAATTTGGACATCTTGTGCTAAGGGTCCTGCATGTGAGTATATTTTAAGGGTAATTTTTCTGAGAGTGTCTCCCTGCATAAGAATTATTTAATTCCTTATCTTAATGTGGGAACTGTATCCGTATTATCAGGAGAGTCAAATCCTAAAACACTTACCCATGGAAAACCACTACACTTCACCAGATTTACAGCTTGATTTTCAAATACCAAAAATTTAAATAATTTTGAGAAGGGCCAGATAAGCACTTGAATTTTGAATGCTTCCCTGATCACCAAACTTTGGAACTTTTTCTCACAATGTCATTTACACAGTGACTCATGTCAAGTTAGAGCCCAATCTTGATTTTGATACTTTTAAAGGAATGAACACTTCATGCAACTAGGAGGGATCCCTTGGGTCATCAAGTCTAGTTCCCTGCCATCACGGATAACCACGTCATATAGTCACATCATCTTAAACACTGTTATGGCAGTAGAAACAGAACCAAACAGTGGAAGAAGCAATTAAATATCAGTATCTGCTCTTGTTTTAAATAGAATCTTAAAATAAATTTTATGGAACTTTGAGCCATGTGCCGAAGGACCTCTGATGAAAATCAAATACAAGGATGATTGAGAAAGACAGACAAAGAGACTTTTTTTTTTTTGTATATAAAAATATGTCTATCTAGGAAATAAAACAGGTAGAACAAAGAATTAAACATGATAGCTGAGCAGAGGCATTGTTTTGCTTCTGACATTGGAAAGGTTATTTGTCCCAGTGGGAGCATTATTGCTGAAATGCTAACAAAGCATCGATCATATCAGCTAACCCTTCTCAAAAATTAGTTAAAATTTCATACCAGCTTTTCAAGCATGTTTGAAACAAATATTTGTTTATCCTTGCAGAACCTGTCTGCTGCCCTGTTGTCTATGTATACTCCCTTGACAAGGTCCAAGTATTGGGCAAAAACTTATGTCAATGAATATCAGTTTCAGAAAATCCATAGGGGAGCTACAAATCACACATTTTTGCTCCTTGATCTTCAGAGCAGTTAGTTCATATATGACATGAATAACTGCTGACTGGAGTCCTCTGTGCATTGAAGTGAAATACATCCTGATTTGGATTGAATAAAGTTAAACGCTGACCAGTCCATTGGTTGAAATGCGTGAATTTTCAGAGGCATGCTTATACAATGGTAACCACCAGCAGGTGAGAAGAGAGGATATATATGGAAAGGTTTTTCAAAAACAAAACAGAACAAAAATAATAGAACGTAACAGATAAGAAAGCTAAAGCAAAGACAGAAATGAAAATGCCCTTGGTTGTTTAGACAGACAGATGCTATTTGCAAAAGGTTGAGATCCAGATTCAAACTTTCCCCAAGTTGGAAGGTTTGAGATTGAATCTGGGTTCAGATTCACATCATCTCCATTTTCAAAGCAGCAAAAACAATTTCTGAAAATCATTTGGTTTGGTTAGGAATAAAGCCAACAGCTGTCAGAATTTGAAATTCCTGTAGTTAATAGTTATCTCCAAGGCTCTCTAAAGCAATGTCATTTATCATCTCAGCAAGCATGACAAAAACATTATGAAGATTAGTTAATTTTGATTCTCACATGTCCTGTGTTTGAATCCCTCCCCCACACTACCAGTAGCAGTCAATCTGCTTTTGTGCCAGTCACATTGCTCATTTAAGGACAAGACATCACAGACCATGAGTAGCAATGCAAACACCCTTTCCCCACCAAGCAAGTCCAATGATGTAATTGAATTAAAAATGGTCCTAAAACATGGGGAAAGATAAGCAGCAAGTGATAGCTGGACTGCCGAGACGGCTTTCAGTCAGATGGTACCAGTGATGGTGGGCCAGAAATAAGTGCCATAAACAACAGAAAATAAGGATAACTCTGTCTGGACTAAAAAGGGAATTGAAGGACGGGAGAGAAAGGGTCTGCAGAAGCATCAGGAAAGTGCCTTAATGAAAGAAGGGAGAATTTCAGATAGAGAAAGACTGGGAGTCTGCATCAGAGAGAGATCTCTGTCAGGAGAGAGAACACTTGCAAATGAGTATAGAAGAGAGCGAGAGAAAGAAAGAACGTGCAAGTATCTTGACCCAAGAAAAAGGGAAGAAGCCCCAAAAAGACAAAGCCGTGACTCAAAAGCATCCAAACCTAGGTGCTGTCAGCCTTATGCTACTGTTTGTATTTATTCTCTAACACCACAGAGGCTTAGTTAATCTCGTCAGTAAGACAAACACATTTGAGGACACATTCATTTCCTTCAGTAGGGAACCACATTATTGGTTTGTATTCTAAGACACGACAGGACCGCCACATTTTGAAAAGTTCTGAAGCTTTTCACAGGACCCCATTTTCTGACCGTTTCTACCATTTCCCACTTTCAAGACAAATAGGCTAAAAGGTCAGAAAGGTGTTGTCATTTTTTTCCCCCAGGATGCCAATATCCAACTTCTATCCTGCCCCCTCTATGACAAAAAGCACTCCCATGCAGAGAGCTGCTTTTGACTATATTTACACATTTCAAGTAAATTTAACACCTTTTTTTGGTGATAACTTCTACTTTTACTAAAAATACATTATTATTGCAGTTTTATAGTTCAGAGAATAAGTAAATCTCCTTTCAACCTGGATACTAATTTAGATAGTATATCTCAACTACAATCCTTCTCTCCTTTTGTTTTTTTTAAAGGATTTGTTTAAAAAAAGAAAACATGAACATGAAACCGAAAAACTAGAGAATTATTCAACATACATAGAGGGTTTCAGGAAGTGAAGTTTTCAGGAAAGCCATTCAATTCTATTAAAACAAATAAAAAACCAGCATGTTTTTTTTTACCAACTGTGGGAGTAGTGGCTGCACTCAAGGAATTGGTGGAGGATATGGAAGAAGTACTTTCAGCACGGGCTAAAGGTGCTATCGGAGGAGGACTGGATGAGTGAATAGGAGGGCTAAAAGGCCTGGACTGTAGAAAAACACAAAACAAGATTAAAAATACACATGCTGTAACATATTCCCCAAACAAAGACATAAAACTCTTATATTCCTGTAATGCTAAAATCATCTAGCATTCTGATCTCCCCCACAGTAAAGATGCTTGGATCTTAATGGTTCTCAGGTCTATAAAAAAGGATGACCAATCTCAACTTTGCAAGTCTACATCAGTTATCTTACCCCACGCCACAGCATTTTTAATATTTTCTGATCCTACGACATTATGTCGCCATAACATAGCAATTTAGTTCCAGAAGACACAGGAAGGATGGTATGTAATGGATAAGTACCACATGAGTTTTCAGTCTGACAGGACTCACTCACATGGGTTAAACCTTGTTTCTGTGAGTGTTCATTAAGTCCTCCTGGATCTGAAATATTCCCTCAGAGGAGAAAGAAATCCAATGGAATAATATTTAGAAATTATTTAAAGGCCAGATCCCAGAATCCTTCTGTAGTCAAAATACACCAGTTGGTAGAGTCTTAAAATCAGTAAGAGCTTTACATACAAAGTGACTGCAGGAATGGGCTGTAATCCCTAAAAGCATTAATACAATGGAAACTGGTAGTGGTGTTTTACTAATTTACAGAACTTATTACAAATTGTGGCATTTTAATGGTATGTTTTGTTCCTTTCTTATACAGGATTTGAGAATGTTAACACACGAGATTGATCACAATGCACTACACCACTAAGACCAGAACATGCCTTCCTGTCTCAGGAATTCCCAGTGTTCCTAGAACAGTCGAGAAGACACTTGGCAAAATACTGCAAAGAGCAGTACAAAGCCCTGTGCAGCGTTTTAGTTCACTGAAACGGGTTTGGGTCGTGACAAAAATCCCAGCGACCTAAACAGCACTGCATGGCAGCAGTACTTGTCTGCTACTCTTGGGAGTGTTCCAAAACAGGTATCCCAGAATAACTATTGCAGCATAAGACACCCCCCATGCATCTGCTATCATTCCACAATAAGTGTGGCCTTTGCCAATTTAACAAGAGTAGATTGAGCTAAATCTGAAAAGGGCAGACTGGTTATAAAATAGAAATAGCCATATGAGCCAACTACCGAAATAACTATTCCAAAATAACCATTCTGGTGCATCTCCAAGGGTAGACAAGTTGTTAGTAGTATTCTAGTACACATTACAACTTTTTCTCCCTCAAGAACTGCTGCATCAATGATGTTCACACCATTATTTCTGAGGGTTTACAGTTGACTCTAAAATCATGTGCATTTGTGTCTTGTCTCCTTTGAAAATTTGAGAACAATTTGTGCTTTCATGCAGAACATGTTTTGCTTTTTGGTAAAATATCAGAAAAAAATGATGTCTACCCATATTTGCTCATTAACCCCCCCCCCCCCCCC